AGCCGAGGCCCGGGACTTTGCTAAGGGCCGGGGGTGGGGGGTTTCGGGTTTGGGGCTTAGGGTTTAGAGTTTAGGGTTTAGGGTTTAGGGTTTAGGGTTTAGAGCTTAGGGTTTAGAGTTTAGAGTTTAGGGTTTAGGGTTTAGGGTTTAGGGTTCAGGGTTTAGGGTTCAGGGTTCAGGGTTTAGGGTTTAGGGTTCAGGGCATGCAGCGCTAAGGTCTACTATGGCAGGATATAGCATATCAGCATGAAACATAGTACGACATAGTAGATCATAGTATATTCTGGTATGTCATAGCATAGCATATTTTAATGTCTTGTAGTATATGACGGTATTGTTAGTGTATTATAGTAAGGGAATAGTAAAATATAGCTTGCCTGATGTGGCATTGCACAACATTGTCGTACAACTGCGTGTATATGCATACCTCCATACAAACGCCTACATACGCGTGCAGAGACAACTTCTCCCAGTCTATTTACACGTTCGAGAGTCTACCGATGCATTGAGCGATAGTGCTGCAGATATCTCCCAAGCGCCGAGGACGGATGCCCAAAATCCTTCTTGGTGTTCTAGCTCGCTTGAGTTGTGGGCCGGGACAAGCAAGTCAACCCTTGCCGAGCCAACGCAACACGAGAACCTCCGAACTCATGCAAAAACCAAGCGAAGTTTCTCATTTTCTGGCAACCATCCCAAATCCTGCACCCCTAAGCTTTGCTTTGCGGTAGGGCTGAATGAGTGCTCAGGGTGTAAACTCGTAAGCCCCTCCCTGCCATCCCCTACTCACCAGGTGTCTGGCCAAGAGGTGCATACTTGGTGGCCGGGAATGGTGAAGACAAATTTTCAACGAGCACGTTGAGCAAGGGCTCCAGCCAAACACATGCACACGCGACGCGGAGGTTGTCAGTGTTGCAATCATGGAGATAGCGAATCACTCAAGTGCTTCAACGTCATCTTCGAAGACTGCCTCCGCAACACGGCACAAGCCTGAAGGTTTGTGCTTGAGCAGCGGGTGCATGTGTACGAGATTTTTTTTTTAATTCCCCACCCGTTTGGGGCTGGAAGATGCAGTTTCTGG